GTGCGGGTGAGGGGGGCGGGCACGGCCATTGTCATGGCAGGCAGTAGGAATGCTGTTTACTGAGCGTCCAGTGTTGTAGTTGCATTCAAGTGTGTAGCTAAGACACAGAGACCTCTGTCAGTGTCCTGCCTGCTCAGGTATCAGGACAGACACACACAGGATCAAATGAGTTGGGCTAGGAAGGCAATCACTGGGAAAAAGGTAAACAGAAAGGGTGCTAGGACTCCCCAGCAACTGACCTTGGCACTATACCATACACCCAGGAAGTCCCCAGAAGTAGCCCCAGAATAAAGACTAATTGTGAGGCTCTTCTTCAAGAAGACTTGGGTGGCCCTTGCCCCTTAAATACCCTAGATCGGGTATTGTTCTCTTCAGGGAAGCTATTTCATTAGCTGCATCCCATTTTCTGTCCAACCTGTGGATTATCCCTGAGGCTTTGTAGATTGCAACACGGCCGCTTCCCTCTTTAGACTGGCCATCTCTACGGTCTCGGGCATACATGTTCTTCTCTGAGAAATTGCAGCCCTGGAAGTCGAAGTGGGCTGAGTTCAAGGAGATGAGCTTTGGATATAGCATGTTTTCCACCTGTTTGGGAAGACGAGGGGAAGACAACTCAGAAGAAGAGACAGAGAAAGAAGGGACAAGGGACAAGGAAGAGACGGCAAGTATGGGGCCACATAACTCAGTACACAACAGATCTCATCACGACCATCAGCAACAATCACCATTTCTTGAGTTCTCACTGACATTTCTAGGTATTAAGAAGTAGTACTTCTGCCTCTTAAGCTCTTACTGTTTTCTTTCCAATAATGCAAACTTCCTTTTCCCCTGGATTCCCAAACTCTAGGAAAGACAGTGCTGACAGCTGGACCTGCACTCACAGGTCATGATGTAATAACAAGGCTCCAGGGCCATCCTTCTTGGCCCTTCATAGCTCATCTACGTAGGCCTTCCTGCCAAAAGGCTCCCGGGTCCCCTCTCTGTTCAGGCCGAATCCTCGCATACCCTGATCACCTCCCACACTCAGGTGTCATTCCTAGGACGCCTACCTGGGTGCTCTCATCACTGAAGCTGTTTCCATACATGAAGCAGCCCCTTTTGGAAGCATGTCCATGCAGGTCCACGTAGTAGGCAACACCACTCTCTTTAGGGGGGATGCTGTCAGGGGCTGGCTCCTCCAGCTCGCCAGGCTGCTGCGGCATAATCCACACACCGTTGGGCTTCTGTTCCGCCAGCTCTTTCTGGGCCCAGGCCTCAGGGTTATCCTTGTCAGCTGTGTGCCCAAGGTGAGCTTCATTCTGGATGTTGTGGGCTTTCTCAAGGTCCGAAAAAGGAGCATCAGGAGGGAGACAGGGACTGGGACGGTGCTCAGAGGGGTTCTGGGAGCTCAGACGAGAGTGCACGTGGTGGTAAAGCAGCACAGCTTTAGCCCCGTAGATGGCCGGGTGCAAGACAGCATCAGGCTTCAGGTACTGCCTGTTCAGGTTCACTCCACGCGAGTCAGTGCTGCAGGAAAACAAGGAGTGAGGCAGTCAGAGGACTGGGCCGGAGAGGGAGACACCTGAGGAGATGAAAAGGAGACTGGGGGAGATGGATCAAATGACAGATGCCTTCTTGATGTCACCCATACCATAGAAACCTAAGGGTAGGTCCCTCTCCCAGATAGGCCTGCAGTTCTAGTTCTGCTCCTCCTGGGAGTGCACCAGATGTAGTCATATTCCTTCTCAGGTCACTGGAGATCAGATGGCTTGCCCTTGGTCGGGTGAAAGAGGACTGGGAATGCAGAAGATGCTAGAAGGCTGACAGTACTACATGGAGATGCAGGGCACAAGGGACACTCGGAGTAATCCAGACAGGCTGGGGAGACTACTTACCGGTAGTGGCCCCGGACCACACCATCAGGGTTCAACATGGGAATCAACTTAAAGACAAAGAGACGTCGTAGGGTTTGGGCCCGGGGATCATCAGGTCGAAGGATGAAGTCCAGAAAGCCATTGAAGACAAAGCTAGATGGCGTCTCTCCAGGGTGTACTCTGCTGCTTAAGAAGAATATCTGGGGTGGAGAGCAAACGTTAGGTCAGCTCCTCTATGGTTCCACTTGAATGGGGGGTGAGGGAGTGCAGGGTGGGGTGAGGCAGAAATAGCCACAGGGCTACAGTGGCCTAGTCTGCAAGTGAGACAAGAGCTGTTATCCTTGCCTCAGGTCACAGGGTAAGGCTGTGCTCAAGAACTTTAGAGAAGGTCAACTGGTGGCATGGTGGTCAAAGCAGCTGGACCCCCACATGGCCAATTGTGAGGTTCGATTCCTGGAACTAGTAGCTTGAGAAACATGTTGGATGCATGCCCAAAATCCCAAAAAGAGAAATGGAGAAGGGATTGTGGTGTGGCCATCCCCTACGGGGTTGCTTTCTTACTTTGTCTCTCTCCAGCAAGTGCACGAATTCTCTAGTGAATTAAAAAATACCTACAGTAACACCTTAAGCTATCAACAGTGCTGAAGCTAGAGCAAAGTCAAAGTACTAGCTTTACACTGTTCCTACTCACCCTCTTCCCTGTGAAACGGAATGGTCGGGGGGTGCTGATATCTGGAAATAGCTGCTCTAGACGGGGTTCTCGATCTTCTCGGAGCCCATGGCAGGAAGTGATCGTTAGCAGATCAACACGAAGTCCATCCAGAGAATAGCAAAGGAGCTCCCGGTGGTAATAGATGGTGTCCAAGGGGCTGTAGGGATAAGAGTCATTAAGCCAGAAGATCCCTGAAGTCCTACCAAGAGGTGGACCTTGTCACCAGCCCAGGAGCGGTAAAATCTGGTCCATCCCCCTAACCTAACCTTTGGGGACTTACAGTCCTCACAATGGTAGGTGAGGCTCAGGATCTGGATGGGTTGGCAGAGCCAGAATGCAGGGTACAGGATGGGGTGGACTCGTTTTTCCCTAGTCTGAGGCTCCCTAGGAGAGATAAAGCAGAGACTCGCCATCCCTGGGGACAGATAAAGAAGGTGTGCTGAACAATGGCAGCACTGGCTAGTAACTGATGGGAGCTGGGCCGGTGCGCAGTGGAGCGTAGTAGTGATAGTATGTCACACACAGTTTTCAAATGTGGTACTCCAAGTCCCACATTATGTGCAGAGAAAAGGCTGATGCAATTTGGGTTCAGAGCTCTTAGGGCAGATCCAGCAGGAGCAGAAGTGCTGTCTGATCCTGGAGTGTGTGGCAGGAGTAAGAACGGGGTTGGCACCTGCTGTGGGTAGGGTGGTTCTCCGGAAAGCGCTGGTCTAGCTGGTTTAGCAAATCCTGGCAGTCACTGTAGGAGAAGGGGTAGCAGAAGGCGAAGAAGGTGGTGGCCCCTCGGCCCTCCACGAAACGGTGAACAAAGGATAACACAAACTGCGTCTCTGTCATCTGAGGAGCAGAGGAAGAGGAGGGGCAACATGCCATTGGTGTCAGAACTGAGCTCCTACCGGGGCTACTAGGAACTGGCCTCGCACCCTCATCACCTTGCCACTTCCCTCCCTCTGATGCTGTCCCTGTGACAACCGGCTCCTTCGAGCCTTCCTGAGCCTTCATTGTGGGCTCCAGCGAGTGCTGCAGGGAAAGCTAAAGCCTGACCTGGTGCCCGCTTGCCTGGTCCTCCGTGTCCAGGGCAAAGTCCTCTTTGCTTTCCTCTCTACTTTCAGCACCCAGGTCTGTCTTTCCCACTCACGAAGAACTTACCTCGAAGGTGGGCCGCTCTCGAATGCGTTCCCAGCGTGGCCGGGTGGGCAGTGTGCGCACAAACGGGGCCATGCCCTGGGAATACAGCTTGCTCTGCTTGTTCATGTTCATAATGTTGATCTTGATGAGTTTCCCTGGGGTTCCTCCCCGGACACTGAAGTAGAACCATGACCTGAGGACCAGAGCAGGAGAGACAGGTGGTTCTACGTGGGAGGACGTGGTGACGGCGTATGTGGAAGTGCAGAGCAAGCAGAACTGGGAAAGGACGCAAGGAGGGAGGGGGCCCTGGACGAGGAAGAGGGTGTACCAGCACAAACGGGGGCGTCGAAGGGCTAACTGGAGCATTACTCTAGGACCTGGGCATTTCCCCTCTTT